ACTGTCATGTTGAAACACTAAAGGGTTTTCTCCAAGCTGTTGGAGGAACGCGCTGCAGCGTTAAGATTTCCTCTAATTGGACCGAAGGAACGTAGAATCAACGGCACACAAAGTACGTAGCCCAGTGTGTCCTTACAGTTTGTGCTAAAAAATAATTATGTATAGAAAATGAAAACTAGCTTCTGCAAAAAAAAAAAAAAAATCCCCCTGCCACACAAACCAAACCTACTCACTGACATATGTGCACCGGCTCGCAGATGTGTGGACATTGCTTTAGTTTCGCCCTCACAGAGACGATGTGGAGTTTAATTGCAGCCACAGTAGCGGTGAGCCACTTGTCGCGTCGTGAAACCCGTTATTTGCACAGGAGTGCATCCACACTCAGCAAACAGCACATTACACAGATATTTCCAATCCGTCTAACAGTACCGGCAATTTGTGCTCGCAGGTGCTACTTTGGTAGAGCTGCGTTCTGCGAAGGTATAATTCGCCATGTGATTGGCTCCATTGTTGCGGCACTCTCGTTTCTCTCCTGGCTGTTTATTCGTCTGTCCGTCCAGCTGAGATGGCTGGATGGATGAATGAATGGATGAATGGATGTTTGGATGTCGTGCCTCCCCCCTCGAGGCTAGATAAACACAGGCACATTCAGTATGGAGCGAAAGCACGGACGGACACTCGCAGAGAATGTTAACTTTGTGTCTCCCTGTGATTTAGTTTGAATTTCAGGGCATCTGGCAAAAAATCCTTGAAACCAGAAAAGTAGATATTATTTCTCTCTCTCTCTCTCTCTCTCCGTCAGACACACACACACACGCACACACACATATACCTCTGTCTCCACCCTCCCTCCTTTTGTCATCCAGTTGGTGGTGTCTAGTGTGGCACCGCTTGTTTACAGCACAGCAGAGTTAATTAGCCGTTTTATGGCTGATTTACAGCCCGACAGGCAGACAGAGAAGATGGCCGCTGCCTTGTCCTTGTTGTCCACTCAAGGACTTGTCGGGGGGGGGGGCATTAAAAACACAACACATGCATGAGCACACACACAAGTGGTCTGTTTTACCAAAATTAACATGTGCATTTGTATCCACCAAGGTAAACAGAACATAAGTCCATATGTACAGTCAACACACACACACACACACACACACACACACTTGCATAGTCGCTAGACTCTAAAACTTAACACAGTGCTGAATATTACTTCCACGTTTTATGTTCAAACATAATTCCTCTGTCTAGACTGATTTATCTAGTCACAACACACATACACACGCGCACACACACACACACACGCACAAATGTGACCTCGCTCACCTTGACCAGTTTGTCTAATCTCACTAACACAGAAGCGGTGGCTTTAGGGAAGAAAGAGATGAGAGAACACCTCATATGACACAAACTCACACATGGATGCACCCAAACAGTGAATGAAGCCCACCCCCCAAAAAAAACCTTTCTAGACTATATTTAAATTGTGCACCTGAGGCATAAGCAGATCCAACTACAATACTGTGAAGATGGGCTCTAAGAAATAAACATTATGTTACTTATCGTTCATTCATTTGGCTTAATGTCAAAGCAATTAGCAAAACAGAGATTAAAATAAGAAAACATCAGTTTGTACAAATGCTTCAAAGTGAGGGCAGAAGTGGCATCATTATTAAAGCTCCATATTTTATTCCTCTTCTTTGTTTTATTTTATTTTTATTTTTATTAAGTGTTGATCCATAAGAAGATATATTTGTGGTTTTAAGAACCAAAAACCATCTCAGTGTAGTTTCACATCTCCTCTCTCAGGCTTCTCTCTGCAGCTCTAGTAACAACAGGTCGGTGAGCCAATCAGAAGAGAGGAGGCTCTGAGCCTCTCTTCTGATTGGCTGACTGTTTTCTGAGTGATCCAATAAAAATAAAGCAGATTTCAGGTAAAAACACTCAGAGAAACCAAATCCTGCAAGGTTTGGATGGTGGGTCCAGGTGGGCGGGGCTTGGTGACTGCTTTGTTGTGACATCACAAAGTTCCAGAAGTCCTGACGGCTGGTTTTAAGGCTCAGTTTCTGAATACAGGCTGTGTGCATTTCTCTGTGGACTGAGGCTTTGATACTTTCACAGTATTAATATAGAAGCTAGAGCTGATCTATAATCACACTGCACATGGACACAGACCTTTACACTGGAGGAGCTTTAATGTTGTTATACTGTTGTAAAACCTTGTAGGGAAAGAGGGTGTGTGTGGCATCTCCTTGACACCAGACACTGTTGTTTACATCCCCTCTCCTACCTACAGTTAACTTTGGTTTCACAGACTTTCACTGACTTGAACCAATTAGTTTTAGTTTACCCTGTCAGCAAAGCTTCACTTGGATGGTTTTGGGAAGCATCTTTTTTTTTTTCTTTTTTTGGTCAGTTGGGTGTGAGGCATTGATGGACTACACAAAGTAAAAATCAGCATGGTTGTCAGTATTTGAATCAGGCTGTTTACCAATCTGTTTGAAATACCAACTACAAAAAAGCACCACTGGTCCCATTTAAAATGCTTTTTCTTTCTGCTTTGTTTTCCCTGCTTTTCTTTTGTCCCCACTCCTCAAAACTGAGGTAAAACTTCCCCCCAGGTGTCAAAAATAATCAGTTTATGAAAAGTTTAACACAAAAATCAATTACACACACAGTTACGTACATAAAGTCGACTTTTGGCTCTAATTTATTGGCCATAAAAACTGACAAGATGCAAAAAACTTTGTAGATACAATGAATTATCATGTCTTTGTAAATTATACACTAATATAATAAAACATAGTGAACCTCTTAAGGTCTAAAAATGTGTAAAGGGGATAAATTACCTCATAAAACTCACAGGACACAGACACCCCCCCTGTCTCACCTAGGCTCTTACAAATCCAAGCTGACATCAACAGGAGGCTAACAGCGATGCTAGCGAGCACACTCTGTCATCTGAGCGGTGTTAGCATAGCGGTGACAGCTAACAAGAGAAGACATCACATTTAGCCGGCGCGGCAGCGTGCGCTAACAGAACAGTTGCTGCCGCCGGAGCGCCCTGACTGTGCCGGTGTAGCTACAGGTGTAGTATTCATTCATGCTTAAAGAGTCTGACACTGGCAAGCAAGGCAGGCCGCCGGCACGCTAGCACAACACCTGACAGCTAGTTAATGTCAGTGTGCAGCCTTTTCTCGGCAACAGGAGCCGACACAGAAGGCGGGGGGGGGGGGGGGGGTCTAGGGAGAGGTAACAGTGTGGAGGCCATTGACATTTAGGAGTGGCTCGCTTCTTCCTCGTGGTAATCACTCTACCTTTGCTTTTTCCTTTCCCTTGCTTTAGCTTCTCTTTTGTTCCTTCTGCCAGACTTTGTTGTCGTTCTCCTATTTCTCTCTTTTCCTTTTGCTGATATCACGGCTTTGTGTTTCTTCTCTTTCTTTAGTTGTGCTCGATTATTTTTGTCTTTCTTAATCCCCCTCACGTCCTCCTTTATGCCGCTTGATGTTCATTTACATTTCAACCTTTGGCTTTTATTGGGTAATTGGCAGCACAGTGTGACAGGGGAACTTGGGGAGTATATAATTCCCAGTTTTTATTATTGTTCTTATCACTTCCTTACTGTGTTGGCTTTAGCAGATTTTTAGATTTTCCCACACTGATCTAACAGAGTCCGTTTCATATCATTCGTCTTTGTGGAACAATTATCTCAGGGCTGTAAACGAACTTAAGCTTTTATCCCCTGTAAGGGTCACAATCTGGAGCCCAGATACTACCTCTGTGTGATTGGTGAAACCGGTCAGAAATGTGTGTGTGTGTGTGTTTGTGCGTGTGTGTTTGTGGTGAGGAGAGAGAGAGATTTTTGAGATTTTCTCCTGCAACAACAAGCACCATACTGATGATTAGAGCTCTGGCGCGTTATCGGCCCGAAATGAGTTTGTTGTGCGTGAAACAGGTGGCCACCCCCGAGCTAAATGTAGAAACAAAACCCCATTAACATGTCTGTAGTGAAGTGGAAAACGCTGGGAAAAGGGCTTTTTGATGGAGAGTGGAGGGTAGATGAAAACGCAGCGAGCATTTTGTCGTTGTGTTTTTTTGTGTTTTTTTGTGTTTTTTTTTTGGTCCTCACACTAATTCAGATTCTGACACACCTACTGCGTGCACTCGTCTCTGCGGATGCCGGTGTGTGTATGTGTGTGTGTGTGTGTGTGTGTATTTGCATGTTCCCAATATGTTTCTGGGTTTTTTTTTTGGGTTTTTTTTCATGTGCTGTATCTCTCTGTGTTTGTGTTCTCGGTCGGGGTGTTTGGACCTCATGCTGATAAAGGCCTCGCCGTCTGCCTTTGTTCATCTGACATTTCCTCATTAATGAAGTTTGCCTGCCCTCCTCCTCCTCCTCCTCCTCCTCCTCCTCCCCTCTGACTCCCTCCGTCCCTCCACCACCTGCTATTCCCCCACTCCTCTTCGCCTTCCTCCTGCGCATCTATCAACCACTCCTGCTTTGATCTCTGCTCCCCACTTTTCCCCTCCATCCTCCGCCTCCTCCTCCCATCCTTCTTTTTATTCCTTTACTGTCCTGACCTCTCTCTCTCTCTTTCTTCTTATTTTTTTCACTCTCTCACGCCCTTTCTTTCAATTTCTTCATTTTCACTTTAACCCCATTTTTCTCCAGCCATCATTTTAACCTTTCTTTCCTCCTCGATCACACACGGTTCTGGGTTAAAGAAAAGGCCGTATGCACCTCATTGTGAGGTAAAATCTAAACCCAGACGTCTGTGAGGGAGAAACTGAGCATTAACTCCTGTTCAGACGCCATTGAGCAAGGCATTTAACCTCTAACTGGTCCAAGCAGAGCTCCTCCTCCTCCTCAGTAACCAAACAGAAGGGGATTGTGGTCCAGCTCTGCATGAATAACATTGTTTTCCAGTGTAAATAAAGGGTATTCAGTCAAATTCAACATACAATTCCAAATGAAAAATCTTTATTTTTCTGTTTCTCCTCTGTAGCAGCTGATGAGAGAGCGACAGCAGATGGCCAGTCGTCCCTTCGCGTCGGTTGCTGTCGTGCTGGAGGTGGGCGGAGACCAAGAGGAGCTGCTGCAGGTCAGAGAAGAGACACAAACACGGAGGCGCATGGAAAAAAACAAAACCAAAAGACACAGACACATACAAACACACGAGGGAAAACACACACACACACACACACACACACAAACACAGTCACTGAGGGCAGTGTGTTCATTTGCATATCCACGCCTGCTGTGAGGCTTCCTACACACACACACACACACACACACACACACACACACACAGAGACAGACACTCACAAGGATGTAAACACTGTTTTGACCCACTGACCTCCTGCCTTGACTGGTATCATGGCGCCGCTGTGGGTGTGTGATTGTGTGGCGGCGTGCGGACACACGACCGGATGCTGACGCTGTAAACTGGTAGTGCAACGAGCGGTGGCACTGAGAAAGATTTAAAGCAACTGATCTCAGTTTAAATACCTTGAACAGTCGTACAGATGTTTACTGATAAATCCTCCTCTCAGATTGAAGTTGGGTGGGAGTTGTCGCTTGTCAACAAAAGTCCACGCCGCGAGTAAGAAGGATAAAGGAAAACGTCACGCTGCCTTAACTGAAGTGATGGTGAACCACTTGTGTCATTGTTGTGTAACTGCACTGGGACCCTGGTTATTCAAGTCTGTTGTGATTGGAGGTGAATGGAGTTGTGACTCATCACAGTGGCGGAGGTTCATACGGACAGTTTGACGTCCCACAGTGCAGTGCGTGGCCAAGTCAGCACCGACCCTCGTCGATTCAGAAAGAATAGCGGCGTCTGAGCCATTGTTTCCTGATTAGACAGTAACAAACACACAGAGCCGCGGCGGGCGGGCGCAGGCCGGCCTCCACAGCTGAGCGTTGTGGAATTAAATGAGCTCAGCACGTCCACAAAGAAACGCAGAGCCGAACTGAGAATACGGCATCGTCAGTGTCTCACGCTGAGGCGGGAGCTTTAACACTGGAGCGTCTCCAGTGACTGGAGGCATCGTCGTCGCCTCAGCCAGACAAAAGTCATAATGCAATTAACTCTCTTGCAGATAACGCTGGCCACGAACCAAACTTACTTTAGGTGTGACGCTGAGGTGACGTCAGGGGCAACGGCGTTGTGAACTGTGACGCTGTGTGACGGCGTGCGCTCCGCTGTGCGCTCCGCTGTCTGTAAATTGATAGAAACGATAGAAAGCACGCCGCATGCGGGTCAACGAGTGTGTGGTCGTGATGTCGGAGGCGAGAACACAAGTTGCCATTAAACTGTGAAACCTCCGCCGAGCAGGTGGAGACAACATGTGACAGCACATTACACCTCGGGGAAGTACTGACGTCGGCAGGGGAGGAGGGCAGAGGGGAGAGAGAGAGAGAGAGAGAGAGAGAGAGAGAGAGAGACTGCACCTGGTTTCAATAGCCCACTTTTCCCAGAGCTGTCCTGAGAGCCCCGCTCTGTCTGTGATTCTCCACCACGCCGGCACCTCACCTTCACCTCGCCGGCCCTGAAGGGTCCTCCAGAGGCGCTGCGAGCTGGTGGAGTGGTGGGTCCTGAGAGACGCAGCTGGCCCGCTGCTCATATCAACCTCTCTCGTACAAAAGAGATTACAGAGCACATGCTGCAACATGACAGCGGTACTTTCAGTGAAAGGGTAAATCTGCCAAATGTGATGTGGCCTTCTCCCGGGTGGAGGCAAATGGTGGTGTCACTTCTGCTTTGTGATTCCTGTCGCTTTGCAAGTACGCCGCAGCGTCCAACGGTGATGCTGGGACGTGAGGATGTGGAGAGTTGAGGCTTATTGGAAACATATTGGACCATTGTTGGACGTATGGACGGAGGAGGGTGGAGAGGAAGTGAACCAGGATTCATTATGTGTAGAAGATTTGCACTTTATCTTTTTTAGGTTGTGAGTGTGAGCCTCATACAGAGCGGGGGGGTTGAATAAACTCATCCTGATCATGGACCGTACATAAAGATGGACGCAGCCTCCGTGACGTCACCCAAAGGTTGTGAAGCTCAGAGTGAGCTGCTTCACCGTCGCCATCTTGGCAGCACCTGACTCCCTGAGCAAATTAGCTAAAAAGACCAAAACAGTTTTTTGTTCCAGGCTGTAAACATGTTTGTTTCTGCTGTAAAGTTGGACAGTTTAACATGGGAGTCTGTGGGGACTGACTCACTGTTGGAGCCAGACTCTAGTGGTTGTTAGAGGAACTGCAGCTTTTAGCACTTTAGTGTTGGCTTCATCTTTCATCTCCTGCAGATCCCACAGATAAACAGGTGGTAGAATTAAGCCAAATTTATTTATAGAGCACGTTTAAAAAATAAGGTGTCAACCAAAGTGCTTTACACAGACATATAAATTAAACTGAATAATCAAAACAGAAATAAACAGGTAAATAACAGGGAGTCATTTAGGAGTGTGCAGCATTCATCAACACTTTTCCTGTGTGCTGCAGTAAATCACCACAGTGTGTGAAGTGTAACATTATATAGTTTAACACTGTTTAATGGGAGATTGTTGTCTCGTTACACAAGGACCATGGGATTTGAGCCGAACAGAACACGCTAATTCGACCGACCTTGCCTTGATGTAACCGATTTCAACATATTAATAATCCTGATGGTAGTGATGCATCGTGGGAAGTGAACTGTTACCCCTGAGCCACCTCTGCCGTCCCTCCCTAAAGCCACAGTGGGAGCCCAGCGACAGATGTTGCAGGAGATTTGCCGCGAACCAGAGGTCGAGCGGTCGGAATGAAAGCCGGAGATAACGGCGACCCTCATTTATCAAACTGCATGGAAACGAATAACAGCGCTGAGCTCTCAGACCACATCTGACATGACGGTAGATTTTAAACATTTTCCCAACTGTGTATTTCAACATGAAAACAAAAGCTAATAACATACTAAAACCAAATGAATGCTGGCCACGTAACCCTGTGTGTCCGTGCAGAAAAGCCTCCGAGATCAAATGACCTCTTCGACGTGGAGTCAGATCAATTTAATTTGATTTCATTTTGGAGCTGCTCTGTAAAATAAATAAATAAATAAATACTGTGACATTTTAAAAATCCAAAACCCAGTCAGTGAACATCACGTCCACCTCCATGTATCTCCCCCTCCTGTTCGAGGTTTCATCTCCTCGCACAGTTGGAGCTGAAGGTTGCGGAGACCGCGGCGCGAGGGGCTATCTGCACACGACGTTTAATTAGTTTTAGCTCCTTTTTTTGACCAGGTTTGACTCGGCTCAGTTCGGCTTAGTTCACGTGCCTGTGGAAAACCTCAGGAGTACCTTCCCCTTATCTCCGCCTCAGCCTGGTTTCCATTTCATTCTTGAAGGTGAGAGACAATGGGGCAGAACGCTATCTTCACACCGAGGTTAATTACACAACATCTGGTTCATAGTCAAGCATGCAGCTTAGCATAATTGTGTAATGAATGAGGGAAAGGGAACATTTCCATGCTGCCCCGCTATTTTATATTGTCCCGCTTTTGCAGAGCGGCGGAGTATAGTTAAACAAATAGAGTCATCATCATCCCGTTGCACGCCATGTTTACTCGGCGAGCACGGAACAGCACACCTGTTGTTTTCCACACACGTGCATGATGCCTGAATCAAACCATGAACATATCATTACATGGAAAGGAGTGTAGTGTTATTTTACAGAGGATTAATACATAATAAACTGCCTGAGTTGTGCTTTTCAATGATTTATGTTTGTATTTTTAATTTTATATGGAAATAAGGAAAATCCCTTCCTCCCATATCCTTCCCTTTCCTCCTCCACTGAGATTTCATTGTCTGATTTCTGTTCTCACATTTATTCCTTTAGTATTTTCACCGTCACCATTAACAACATGTCAGACTCTTTCTTCTAGAAATAACGTTTACATGCCATTAATGTGCGAAGCGTGAGGGAAGCGTGAGGGAAGCGTGAGGCAAGCGTGAGGGCCACCATGATTACTTTATTTAATCAACATTAATGAACATTTCCAGCCACAATATCTCGACACCGATCACATCAGTGAAATGCGCAGCGGTGATAATCTTTTGTATGTTCATGTTTGTTTCCCATCAGAATCTCAACATGAAAATAAATTTGTGTTTTGATATGAACATAATATGGAGGATTGATGTCCTCTGTAACCACACCTCATGTGTATGTGCCTGTATCGTCTTCCAGAGTAGAAGACGACCCCCGTCCTCTGAGCTTCTCCTCCTCCTCCTGTGTTCAAACCACAGAGTCTCTTCCTCTCCGTCTCCGTCAGAACAAACGGTTTCAGGATCCATCACAATATTATGTATAAATTCATGTGGACGTGCAGCGTGTGCTTAGATTCCCCAGGACACATAAAGGATGAACTTAAAAAGCTCTCTGAGCTCAAAGATGTCTTTTCTGTCCTCTGACGACTTGCAATTACAGGTACTCTCGGAACAAGAGCCGTCTATCATTCCCTATCATACGGCGCGGTGAGGCGTCTGGGCTCGGTTAATCTTCTGTAATGATGCAGGCTGCGTGTGTCGCAGCTGGAAAGAATGTTTTTTTCTGTCCTCTAAAGACTTACAATTATACTCTTCAAACAAAACAAAAAACCAGAGACTTGTGTCAGTGTCGTGAGAGGAAAAGTTTCCACATGGCGAGGTGTCTGGGATCGGTTACTGATCCAGTCTATATGTGTCACAGCTGCCTATATCTGTCACATCCAAACTCAACTTTTTTACTTCAGAGAACTTGTTGTTTTCTCTGCAGGAGTTACGTACTTCTGCGCTGTGTCCGTGCTACTTCAAACGGTTGATTTATTATATAGAATTTAAAATAAAAGGATCATACAGGTATCAGGATTAATTCTGGGTGATGCATAGACGTCACTGTTGAGAGTTTGCATTGCATACAGTTTAAATAAACTCTTCGGGTTATTCAGAGTAAACCAGACACAGTTGCTGGAAAGAGATATTTGATTTTTGTATTCATTTATTTGTGGCATCTTGTAACAGCGGAAACTTTCTCTCAACATCTGGACAGATACAGGTACCTACTTTTGTTTTACCTGAA